GGATCAACAGCAGGATCTGTGCCCTGCGCCACCCCCAAAGCCCCTGCAGTAGCTCTCCACACATCCCCACGCCCTCCCACCTTTACCTGGGTCCTTGTCCCGCCGGTGTGGCCCCTCGCCCTCAGGCAGGCGGTGGCTGAGCATGTGCCGCTTCAGGTTGCGGCTCTGGTTGCAGCGATAGTCGCAGGCAGCACACTGGAAGGGCTTGTCCTGGCTGTGGACCCGCTCGTGGCGTTTGAGGTTGCCCAGGCTGCTGCAGGCGAAGCTGCAGCACGTGCAGCGGTACGGCTTCTCCCCGGTGTGCGTGCGCAGGTGCCGGGTCAGGTTTACCAGCTGGGCAGAGGCGTAGGCACACTGCGGGCAGGCGAAAGGCTTCTCCCCGTTGTGTGTCTTCATGTGGCGCTTGAGGTGGCTGGAGTAGTGGGAGGCGAAGGGGCAGAGCTGGCAGGAGTAGACGATGCGCTGGCTGCGGCCGCCCTCGGCGCCGGCGCACTGCAGGCAGCTCTGGCCCAGGCTGGCAGCCAGCTGCAGCCCGCACTGGCGGCAGGGCAGCGCGGCGGGGCCAGGCTCGCCCCCCTCCTCAGGGTCACTCTCCACGCTCAGCTGCTGGTACCCAGAGGAGCAGTCGTCGTCGCTCAGGGCGTACGCTGGAATAGCGATCTTCCCCACCAGTGTGTCTGCTGAGAACACCGTGGGGATGGGGCGGTGTCAGCCTGGCAGGCCTGGGCACTGCCCCTCTGCCTACGCCCCCAGCCCCACCCCGTGGCACCCAGCAGGAGCCCACCGCTCCGTGCATGGCAGTGAGGAGCCCCACAGCCACAGCTGCCCCAGCGCCCTGCTGAGGGCCTGTTCTGGGTGTCTCGGGAAACCCTGACACTTCTGCGTGGCTGGCCAAGACCCTGGCACCAGGAAGGATGAGAGGATGGGTGGGTCCATCACCCACTGGCGCTGCTGGGCCTGGTGGGTACCAGGTGCTGGGTACAGTCCGGCCCAGGCTGGAGAAAGGGGTGCCCATAAAGCTGCTCTGTGCCCCTCTCACTGTGCCACTGCCTCAGCCCCGGGGTTGGCAGCTGGTTGCACTCGCATGGCCAGCACCAGGGAGCTCCAACACCAGCCCCTTCTGTCCTGCAGGAAACATTCCCCTGCCCCACGCAGTGCCACTGTCCGCTGGCAGCAGGGGGAAGGCTGCCAGGCTCTCAAGTGGAACTTCTCAGCTGGGCACAGACTGTGCAGCCCCTCTGCTCCTCAAGTGCCCCCAGGCTGGTGCTCGGGGCTGGAGGGGCAGCTCACATGAGCTGTGAGCCATGAGCTGTGAGCCATGCCCGCTGGCCCCGCTCTGTGCCTGACCTGCATCCTGGGCCTGTCAGACTCAGCAGCTGCCCACCATCCTGGGAACCACCCTGGGCTGTCCCCTTGCCACCCGGGCTGTGTCCAGCTGATGAGGCTGATCTGTGCTGTGGGACGGGGCAGCCCTTCCAGCCTCCAGCCCCTTCCACAAGCACTGCTGGAAACACAGACATCAGAAAAGGGCATCCTGCCAAGGCCTGCCTGTTACAGGGAACTCTTGACCCTGCCTCAAGCCCTCTGCTAAGGGACCCTCTTTCTCCTCAGCTCAGCCCCAGCCACACCAAGGAACCCCCTGTCCCCTCAGGCCAGCAGTGCCACAGCATCCCCAGAGCACTGTCCCCTAAAGGGCCCTGTCAGTGCCCACATGGCACAGCCTGTCTCTTCAGTGGGCTGAGGTCCTAGTCCTGCTCCCGGGCTGGGGCTGAATGGGAGGACAGGTATCCCTGGTAGAATTGGTCCCCAAACCCCTGGCAGGCTCCTAGGGCAGGGCAGGGCAGAGGAGGCAGAGCCCTCAGAGCAGCCCCATGTGCCAGGCAGCTGGGGCTGAGCCTCAGTGCCAGAGCAGGAGCAGGGCACAGCCCCTGGGGACAGCGAGGGGACAGGCACGGGGCCGGACAGTCCGTGCCGTCATCTCTGCCGTTCCGTTCCCACGTTGCTCAGTGCCCGGGGCGGGGAGTGCCTCCCGCCAGTCCCGGTGAGCAGCTCCCTGGCGCTGAGCAGCGCTCGCTCCTCCGGCTGCCTCGGCCGGGGCTGACCCAAGCTCGGGAGCCCCGGCGGGACAGGCGCTGCCCGCAGCGGCGGGCCGGGGTGCCGGGGCTGAGCGCGCTCCGTACAGCCCGCGGTGCCGAGCGGCGCGGTGCAACAGGAGCCCGGGGCTGAGCGCTGCGCTGGCTCCGGCATGAGCCCGGCGGCGGCTGCGGGGCGCGGCCCCAAGCCCACCGCGGGAACACATCGTGGCCGGGACCCCCGCGGGAAGGAGCATTCGGGGATCGGTACCGGGGGTCAATGCCGGGCGGGCAGAACCCACCCCGGGGCCCCGTCGGGGGCCGGGCCTCCCCCGTGGGAGGAAGCTCGGCCGGAGCCCGCGCCGGGCGGGCCCGTGGCAGGGCGGGCCCTGCCGGATGCGCCGAGCGCGGGGCCGGTACGGCCCGGCCGGGCCGCGTCGCCGCCGGCGGGGCTGCCGGAGACGGGCGGCGTCCCCGCGGGGCCGCACGCACCTGGCGGTCCCTTCTCGGAGGCCGGGCCACGGCCCAGCAGCAGGTCCCCGGGCAACACCACCGCCGCTCTTGCCGTCTCCTCGGTGCCATCTTCGGCGTCCGCTGCAGCGCTCCGAGCGCCGCGGGTCCCCGCCGGGCCGCCGCCGCCCCCCGGGCCCGCCGCGCACTCACCCTTCACCGGCTGCGGGTGGCTCTGCTTCCGCCGGGGCATCGTGGCGGGCCCCG